AGTAATTCGTTTTCTTAAAAATGCTTACCAACGAAAGATTTTTCCTGTTATTGGTATCATTAAAATTCTCAGCGTTAAGTCATTTTGTTTCGTTTATCATGAATGTTACACTTATCATCCTTTAAAAAGATTAGGACCTTTAAAATCTGTTAACGCGTTGTTTTGTTAGCATTAGGTCAGCTGTTCACTGTCAGAAAAGTTTTACTAACTTTTATAGAAAACGGCAAATTTTGTGATGAGCACACTATTCTGAAGTTCAGAATTGAGTACAGATGACCGAATAACCAAACTGAATAACAAGCTACCTGACATTAATTACATAGAAAGTTAAAGTTATTCAATGTAAAACTTAGAACCTTGGTAAACACTATCCAGATGTGAATTATAAAAAATGCATTGGTAGTTTTCAAACAATGATCACTAAACTAAACGTTTGATGATTCAACCACGCTGGTAGAAATGAAATTTATTCCGTTGTGATGATTCTTAACCAGTTTATTTCAAATAATCCTGTGGCTCAATGCTTCGAGGCATAATAAGAGTTACCTCAATATCCATTCTAATAGTTTAATTAGTTCCGGATTGCGTCCGATAATAGATTTGGGTGATATAAGGGCTGATGGACAACCTTGAAAAAACTGACCACTTATCATTAAAATACACTTATGGATTAATGTAACGAACCAGGATTGAGAGTTACGGTTCTCATCACGAACTAACATTAACCATAATACTAGATTGCTGTTTAGAGATACAAATTAAACGCCAGATGTATGGAGACGCTATCCATGATTTAATTCCCTCCAGGTTGTCCATTTCTTGATGTTGAGTTAATTTAACATAAGGCTATCAACCTCCAATACATCTTTGTATGATTATCACTGAAAGGGTTTACATTACCCTATTGTTGGCATTTAGGACTGAATTTCAGTCTTTGTTGACATACGCATATCCTGCGGAGATTAACTTAACATAGCAATACTGCCGCACATTTTATAGGATAGATTATCACGAGATATATTTGAATTCGTGATGTTCACGACAGAATAATTAAAACTCTTACTAATTGCACATACATCATACCCGATGAACAAGTTAGCGGACATGTAGACCCACACGTTTAGTGGGTGACACTTTAGATTTAAAATGAAGGGTACCGGTTTTAAGTCCGAATGTGAATATCGGTGGACTGGGGGGATTACACACTGCTATCTTTTAAAATCCTAAAACACTTGCTACCCCTAACAAAAACTAGATTGTAACGCAGTTAGAAAAAAAGCTATTGAAGTCCAACTTTAAGCTCACCCAAGGCCCTGCTAGAAATTGAATCTAGGACATTCAGATCTACCCGCTATGATAGTACTTAATCTATTTACCTAGCTCATTAACCAGGTACTGAATCAAGGAGTTGGTTCCAAGCCAACTATGAAGTTACCCAGACGAAAGCAGATTGACCAAGTCTCGAAACAATAAGCTTGATAGTTGAAAGTTTTAACCACCACTCGCACCCGTTTAATAGCTACTTTTCTACATTTATCCAAACCAATCAGAGCAATAAAAAGTCAGAACATATTCATTTTTCGTGTGTAATTGTATTGTTATAATCTGTTTTGATTTTTGTAAATGTCTAATGACAGAATGTAATAATGAAAAAAATCCTATTAAAGAAAATAAGTAGCATTTTAGTAATATAGTATCATCTAGAATAATCTTTTAGTTTTCTTAAATTCTGATCAGAGAAATATAAATGATGCTATATAATAGAAACAATATTGATACAAGTACTACACATATATACTTGTATGTAAGCAAGAAATACGAACAATGGTGTATACTCTAGGTGTATGTGCATGTATCTCTCTTCTGCATGTATTTATTATTAAATACACACAGAAGTATTGTAATATAACAATCACATAGTGAGTGATTAAAAATGTATGAAAATGAAAATTATGTAGCAACAAAAATAAAACTTTGGTGGAAGTGACATTGGACAATTTAACATTGAACTATAGTGACGGTGGTAGCTGTTACTCAACATCTTTTTTAATACAACAGACAATTGATTGTGAAAGAGGAAAGAAAAAGTAATAGAAAAAAAGAACACACATACTTAACTATTAAGAAAAAGACCGCAGATGACTAAAAAGCTTAGAAAATGTTAAATCCATATGTATGTGATTGCGTTGATGTACAAATTGAATAAGACAGTAATAACGAAGAGAGAGAGAGAGAAGCACGATCAATACCAGGGTAGGCAATGTGAAAAAATTCTTATGTGGATCGAACACAAAATTGCATACATACTCAAAACCGGACAATGTTCACCACCTCTGGATAAAAAAGACAATCCAACGAGAAACACTAGTGGGATAACAGGGTACTAATAACATTAGGACTTGAATAAATAAGCATTTAAAAGATGTAGATTATCAACTATGGAAAGTAGAGTAGAATAAACGAAAAGCCCAGTAAACAATTGACGCATAGAAAAAATCACAATAGATAAAAGAAAACGAAATTGTTAAGATCAAGTATTTCGTAAATGAGACAAAAACAAACAAATCACAGACTGACGTGAAAAGTTGAAAAAAAACCTATTCCTCACTGAAAAAACAAACAAATCTCAAATGTAAAATAAATTAACGAATAGGTAGATCAAGTCGAATCCAACAAATACAATACGTAAGCGCAGAAAGAAGCGAGTAACGACAAATAAATAAATGAAACCAACATTGTTAAATGAGAAACAGAAAGAAGACCAATAAGCTGTTGTTTTGTGCTAAGTTGTTATGTATTTCTGTTTGTTTTTCTTTTCGAGATACAATGCACTACCCTACCTTATTGTTAATTATTGCAACTGAGAGAAAAGTAGACATAAAAATTTCTTTAAAAATCGTATACATGGCATAAGAAACTCTAACAGTATTAGTAACAGTAATAGTGAAAATAAAATGTAAAAATAGTATAAGCACAAGATTCAATCATTGTTGACCAACTGAATCACCCATCTACTCGCACACACACACACACACACAAATAAAAGTACATTGATGAACGGCTCTGGATAATAACACGAACCAGAACAGTCATAACAACAATAATGGTGACTAAAAGAAAATAATTTATTAGACAAGAAGGGTGAAATGACTCACGCATATTTTTTAAATGTTATACTTTGTTAATTAGTATAACTCAAGATGGATACCAGTTACATGTTCCGTTGTTGTCATTACGTTACTTATTCACTGTTGTCCATTAGAGAAAGAATTTAACCATCAAAGTTAAAAATGAAACAAATCTTCAACAATACTTTCTCTCTTTTTACTTAAAGAAAGATACATATTGATAGGAAACAATAATTATTATTCAAAGAGGGTAAAAATCTTCAAGATGTGAATATAAATTAATTTGTTAGTACAATATAATAAATATGATACAACTATTTTGATGTAGAAGTTTGAATAAAAATTAAAACTGCTGGTCGGTGAAATAGTGAACCATAGGAAGGAAACGAAAAAAAAGAACCTGAGTGGTAAAAGACAGAAAGTGAACACATATAACATGACACTCACTAAACTATAATACATTAACAATCTTGAGAAAATACATGAACAAGTAAGTGATATTAAGCATAAATAATAATTTCAAGAAAGAACAATAAACAACAGCATACTATACATACATACACATACAAGCGGGCGTGGAAACAGAGTACATAAACAATTATAATTGAATAATGAAAAAAATAGTAAAACGATGGTTACAAAAAAAGCTTGATGATGAAAAGGACAATAATAACAATAACGGACAAACAAACAGAAGTCATTAAATGAAAGACTATTGTGAACTCATCATTATTATCTTGAATAAATGTGAAGATACATAGCTTTATTATTCTAGAAATGTGATTACATAAATGGCATTAAATAGTAAAAATGATAATGAATAATTGAATAGATTGATGTGCATACAGGTGTAAAATGAGTAGATCATCGTCAGTAAAAAATGGGAAACTATGCCAGGAAATATGATAAACATTAAAAACAATCTTTTCCTTTTATTTAGAAGTAAACAGAATTCATGGAACCAAAGAAAATACTCCTATTTAATATGATGTCCATAGTAGAATAAGTGCAAAAAATCGATGGTAAAAACAAGCTAGAACAATGAAAAATCATTCGTTACCATTCAAACATATCAGCTCATTAATGATAGAAGAAACGATTAGCAAAAAAAGAAGAAAAGCAGATAGAAAGATAACTTTTTCAAAGAAAAGGGGCGCAAAAAAATAAAGGCAAAAGATGTATAGGTCTCTTCCTGTCTATCATCATATTAAAAAAACATACACATCTCTTTAAAAACATCTTTTCAACTAAGTGAATTTGCTAATAGGAAAAATAACTAGAATTTCTATTTGAATCACTAAACAACCAAAAACAGGACAAATTAATCAGAAATTAGATACATTACATTTAAGTGAATGTATGTTTATGTAAAATATAAGACTATAATTAACACATTATTACTAACGATAATAATAATAATAATTGTGTCCATATCACACAATCATTCGTAATATAATTGATAGTTATGTAGAAAAATGAACAAAAAGACAGGAAAAAAAGATAAGTATCTCTATAAATAGTGTAGGCAAAATGGGCAATGCAACAAAATGGTGGGAGACCACACACATACAATAGTAATAATAATAATAATACAAGACCGATACATAAGTGAGCGACAAATAAACAATAACCTAAAAGAAGAAAATCATGTAATTTGACTGTGTAAGTTGATTTGCTTCCATGTTTTTGTTCACTATGTCTCAGCGTGTATCTGTTTATAAAAAGCAAACTCAAAAAAAGATTTAATTGAATAAAACAAATAGAACACAATGAATAATGGTAATATCTCTAGTAAGTTTTGGCGCTAAATTGCTATCATTAATGATAACATACTTATCAAAATGTATTTTCTCATATTCTGATTCAAATAATAATAATAACAATAATAATAATAACAATCATATAAACACATAACTGAAAAGATATATGCACGCAAGATATCTAAAAGATGACTTGTAAGTTAGTATGCAGTATTAAAGTTTATTGGTTAATAGGCTATTGGCAGCGGTGACAGCGTCGAGAGTAATTACAGCGGTTACTTTTCAATATTATTATTGTAATCATCTATCCATCTTCTATGAATAATAAACACAAACACATATGATGTATGTTTTCATAGTAGTTGAGGCATGAATTGTTTCGAAAAAAACTTGTCAGTTATAAACAAGTATAGGATTATCCCAAATAAACATGTAATAAAGTGACTAATTATGTAAACCCAAAATCACTAATCACAATTCATTATCATACACATACGTTGTGTGTGTGCACATAGAAATTTATGAATATGAAAACTGATACTATGAAAACACTCTCAACAAACAATACTAGTAGATATTTTACAAACAGACAAATAAAAGGCAAAAAAGAAATTACCATTTATGTGTGTGTCTATGTGTATGCGCGTGCATTGTATGGTTATTGTATTGAATTTGCACAATGGATAAATAAATTACAACTACAACTAATAAATGATGTATGTTCAGGGTGGTGTTAATATTTACTTGCTTGTTTGTTTATAAACATAGTAGAAAAGAAAAAGAAAGAGAGAGAATCACCATTCCTCCCACCCTTATTCTTAATTATCTCTGTTATCTCATCATAAATGTGACAGACTACTGAATAGTACTAATTGAAAGTAAGAAGAAAAAGTATGATTTACGACGAGAGAGAGAAAAGTACAAATCGTAACATACACATATATACACGCCAGCGAAAACACAATAATGGGAAAATATTGTTACAATGAATTAATTGTCGGCTCAGTTAATTAAATGAGACCATGTGTATATATGTAAAATGTTTATGAAAATAGATCATAGTAACAGTATTAATAATAATAACATACGTAAAATCAGATAGACACCTAAACAATGTCGAACGATAAGTAAGAATAACAATGCTAATAGTTAATATTGTAATCAAATATTTCACTAAGAATAAATTAAGAAAACAAAAAGAATCTTGTCTAATAAATCTGAATCTAATTAGGGATCATCTTTTACATTTTATTGTGTATAACTTGTTTCATTTCTCATACTTTTGGTCGGTTTCTTCCACTAGAATTATCCTTTGTTAATTTTATTTTTATTCTCTAATAATTATGAATTATATATAATCATTATATAATAGTAATATTGTGGAACAGAGCCTAGAGAAAAAAAACTAAGCATGATAATGATGCAATTTTCTTTGTGTGTGTGTGTGTTTGTGATATCAACAAACATTAGATAGGTTGTTTTTCATTAGCTATATGTTTAGATGACGATGAGGTTGATAAGCAACAGTTGTTTTGTTTCTTATTGTTATCATCGTTATTACTTTCCTGATGTTGTATATCTAGGGATGAATTCTGAAATACAAAACTAGTACTGGTAGAAGTAGTAACAGGGTCGACAGTAGTAGTATTCATTATTTTATTCAATCGGAATGAGTTTTCTTCGATAACTGTCATTTCAGTGGTCGGTACATTAGATTCTTCAAATGTAGTATTATTAGTTAATATTGTCAATGTATCTGCCGTCGTGGTTGTTGTCAACTCAGAAACAGAAGTACTAGCGATAGTGGGCACATCAAAAGTCTTCGAATGATGATATGTTAACAATTCTTCTGTATTACTGCCTTCTACTATTTGTTGATCTAAATCACAAGATTCTTGATTCGATAATGAGAGCAAACCTGATGCAGAGAATAGATCGTCATCATCATTATAATCAGAATTGTTATGTGTACCACCATTATCAACACCAGCACAAGTAGATGATAATAAACATGGATTATTGAAAGTTTCTTTGAGTTCATGCACAGATGATTCATTATCATGTTGTATACAGTTTGTATTATAATTACTGTTTGGTAAATTCCAATTTTGAAACTAAAATTGAATATAGATATTTTTAGAAAAGAAATATGAATAAAATAAACGTTTATTTACTGCAGAAAAAAAATCATGAATTAGAATAAATGAGAAAGTATAGGAAAACTTTATTATCTATCAGGAATGAATGCAGTGTCCAAAGAGAGAAAGATAGGAGATTAGTGGCTTGTAGGAAAAACTGCACATATATATATATATATATATATATATATATATATATTTCTGGTTGCATATTACATACGTTTAACAAAAGAGACAAAGAGAGTGAAACTACGATTCGGCAGAAACAGACTAGAGATAGTATTTTAGAAATGACTACCTACCTTGCTAGGGTCAAAACGACTTGAGATACTGCTGAAAGCTAGGGACCACTATTCAACTGTTTCGTCTTAGCATGGGACTCCGCAGAAGTACAAAATGGTCGTCCGATACAACACTGTTTTTCAGTATTACCATCCTAAATGAGATCAATCCCTGACGAATACTACACACAAACAATTAGATACTAAAGTAACGATAACAGTGAGGCGACTGATTATCAAGTTCATGTAAGAACAAGAGCTGAAATACTGATTTTTTTCCACATATAACAGGACATAGTTTGATAACTTTTAATCACTAACACTATACAATGATGATAAAAACCTACCAGAAAACAAGGAGAGGGGAACGAAAAAATGCGGGCAAATATAAAAAATTGATTGGAATGATTATAATTACAGTTTTTACTTTATAAAAAAGACGGAATGACCAGAGTAATCACACACAATATCCTTTTCTTTATAACAGGAGAGTACTTATCACCACGTGAACGAATGAATAAACAAAGCAAACATGTGCAATGTACTTATGAAAAAAGGAATCATATATATATATATTTAAAAAGTACATAATTATGTTGTTGTTATTAAGTGAACACGTTTTTTTAAATATCTCTCTAGATCTATCGAAAAAAGGTAGAGGAAAGAATAGAAAATCATGTGTAACACAATACACTCAACATAACATACAAACATCAGAAAACTAATTTATTCTATAATGGTATTATTATTGTATACACATATATTACCTATACAACACATAACATTAGGAAGTACTATCATAGGCATACACACAAATATAAATAATAAGAATAGTGTATACGAAATTATTACAGATTGCACGAATAGATGGATTCGTGCAAACAATAGTAATATAACCAACTAGAGAGAATAGTAGTAGTATTAGATGAAATGGATGGAAACGCATTGGAAACTATGACCGGCCAGTAGCCCACCTTGTTGAAGTTAGTATTTAAAAGAGGAATAAGATCAGATGAAATCTCAATACAAATTGAGAAAATCTAATCAGCTTTATATCAAATTATATAACTTTTTATAACACATGAGACATATTAATTGTTCTCTTAATCAAAGGACAAGTATATCACCCAATAGTTTGTTCTTTGGTATTTGATAGTTGTGATAGTCGTGGCTCTTTGAAGAATCAATGTTCATCAGGCCAAACCCATTTACTATTATGGGTTTGGCTTGATATTTCTATCTCTGTGCTAATGGGGTATAGCAACTTGAACCGATGTATATACATATCAAGTTCTATGTTGCGAATGACTGAAAGGATGTTCGTAGGTTACCAGTGTTTAGTCATACATATTTTAAAAGCATTGTTCAGGTATGCTGGGAGTATTGAATGATCAATGCTGAGGTTAAACGTAAAATAAGAGGTGGCGAATCGGTTGATCAGTTAGTAAATCCTCATTCACCAAAATGGTTGGGATATGTGTCACAGATGCTCAAATACTGCCTGTCTGTGTGTGTATTATGTATCCTCGACCACTAACTACTTCGATGTGCGATATTTGTTGATGCAGGAATATGCCAGAAGAAAATCATGAGGAGCTAAACCGAGATGTTGCGTGAGTTTATAGAGCTACTAACCCAGTGATCCTAAAAGTTAAGCATTTACTACAAAACCTGAAGGTTCTCAGATCGATCGCTGATAGGGTTATAGGTGTGCACTGCAGAGGAGCTCCATACTAGGATGCAATGATTATAAAGCACTCCCTAATTTTCAATAGTATACCAAATGCGTTCAATTTGTGACCAATACCATTTATCATAGGAATAGCTAACAAAAATTTATTTAATTTAAATAACAAACCTGCATTTCAGACTTTGTCTTGTTGGAACCATCATCATCTGTCGTATCAATATCATTATTATGATGACTATTCAAAAGTGCTGATACAAGTGGGTTAGCGAATAGAGCTGCTAATGCTTCTTGCTGTTGTAGAGGGTTTCGACTAACTGAATCAATCGGTCCACTTGGACTAGGACTTTTCATAGGTGAAGTTTGCATACACGTTTTAAATTTCTCACATGGATTTGATTCTGATGATAAACTTTGAGCATAACAACAACCGGTACTCTGTTCACTACTAATATTATTAATTTCGGTATCAATAAATAATGGTTTAAATAAATCAGTCGAAGCTGATGGAGATATATTCAATGAATGAAATAAACGACGAATTACACCAAGCGAATCACGTAAATGTTCTGTAACAAAATCTCTTTGCTTTTTTAAACTTCCACTTCACCCTCCTTCTACAAATTGAAATAAAAAACAGAGAATATAAAATTATTAATAGTAATATAATTGAACCCCTGTGGAAGTGTAATTGTTAAATAGTGGACAGAATTTCGGTAGTTTTTTTTCTTTGGGCTAGATGGCTTGGTCATGAAGCTTCCGAACTTTGCCATATATGACCCTCAGCTTGTCCTGTAGACCTCGGTCTTGATTGGTTATTGTTGACCCTTAACCTGTCATCGTTTACTTCTTTATTTTGATTGTATCTCCCATTTATTTGATTCTTGGTCCTATTTGTCCATAATTTTTTTGGTTTGATAGATTGGATCGATTTCGGTGTATTTGTTGACTGCTGATTGACTTGAGTGCCAAGCTTTTAAAAATTCACTGGTGTTTTTAGAATTACCTTTATCTAAGGTCTTGACATTTCCCCAATCCAATGGGTGTCCACATACACTGATAAAAGTGAGGATATGCCATGCCATGACATCAATATAAGATACAATCAAAATAAAGAAGTAAACGATGACACATTAAGGGTCAACAATAACCAACCAAAATAGAGGTCTACAGGACAAACTGTGGGTCATATGTGGAGAAATTCGAACACTTCACTTCTACACGAATTTTATGCTGATGATGTCGTTCAGAAGAATGATGAAAGCTCCACGACCAAACTATCCAACTCAGAGAACAAAACTCAATCAAAACCATCCACCTGAGCTACAAATCTTCACCATATCCAGATGAAATTCTGCACGATCCCGATTTCCAGAGGGTAAATGCAATTCAACATTCCTAGAGAGAGCTCAATACATCTAGTTAATTTTGAATATTACTGTATAAATTGAGTTTTTGTTCTACTTTAATTTTTGACTCCTTTTCTAAATAAAAAAACTATTCTGAAAGTCTCAGCTTCTTTATCATATATTAGCACCTGCAATATTGACGTTGAAATGTTATTGTGTGTTGTTCTATTGAGTTCGTCATCGAACACGTTTGCATAAGAATACGTTCAATCGTTTCGTATCATGGGCCTGTACGTAACCCAATTTCAAAATATAACACCAATAAAACTAACGTAGATATTTTAACCTACATATGATTTAAAACCCACTACACACTTGATCAAAAGAGGTTTCGAAACTATTTGCTATGCTAAGTAATTACTAACCACTAAAAGTTATCTATACTTGTAAAATGTAGATTTTTAAATCAGGTGAACTATTTTTGTAGTTTTGTCCTCTGAGCTGGATGGTTTAATCATATTCTTCAGAGCGAAAACTTCTACTTCGATAAATTCGCGATAATCAAAGTTCGACATGTACACTACTGAATTCCTTCTCAGTGACCCAGAGGTTAAGTGTTCACGCGCAACACGAAAGTCTCAAGTTAGATTCCCGGTTGTGAGATCGTGGGTTGGCATTGTCAATCAGGAGTCCTACACTAGGATAAATATCTTCTTCTCGGTTCGCGATCTCAACAACATTCAACAACCTCTACAATCCTCATACTGATAACAAGTGAATTCGCTTATCATCTAGTCAAGTGATAAATACTTGCATATTAATGAAAGCACAGGTTCTACTCTCTCTCAGACAGAAACGAGAGGAAGAAACCTGGTACCATATACCACTTGTTTTCAATCATCGTATATTAAAATAAACATGAGGAATAAAAAACCCAATAACTTTATTTATGTAAAAGTTACTGGTCTGATACATATGTTATCTGAATGTGTCTGTTATGGTTTATTGAAAGATGAGGTGAGTATTTCCTCGACTAGAAAGTTAATCGGCCAAAACTTAAGCTAGTAAATATGAACACAGACAAAAAAATTCAAAACACACAAAACGTGACTATGGTGATGTAAGATAACTTACTGAATCTAAAAGTTGTTTTACTTCATCTAATTCACGACGTAAAGTTATACGCTCTAGATCACAGCCTGGATTACTGAATGGAGACGATAAAAGAATAGGTGACTGCGGTAAGTTGGTAAAGTTATCATTTATTGAATGTGAGAAAATCCTAGAACTTGTTCGAGTTCCACCAAGATCCAGTTGATTGGGAGATGAAGTTGAAGACACATTAGAAATACCACCCTGAGTTGAACATTCTGAATATTGTTGTGATCTAGTTGACCGGTTATTGTCCGGTTGGTCTGTGGATTCCGATGTCTATATTTGAAAGTTACAATTTCATTAGATAATTAGATATTGGGTTTTGGAATATGACGATGACAAGGTTAAAAAAAACTAAGTTTAACTAAATTAACACGACCATGATCATATGGAACACTAAGAGCTATGTGGAATGGTAGCTCAGAGGCTTATGCATGCGACTTTCAGTCATTAAGTTGTAGACTAGAACCCTGCCCAACTTACTATGATTAGGGGAACTGGATAGTATTACTAGTCTTTAAACGTAGCGTGGCTCGTAACCAAGTATACAAATCTGTACTTGATAAATGGGTTGGGTACTAGATTCGATTTGGCCATAAATAATATTGAAATATGAGTCCCAAGCGATATAGTGACGATAAAATTTATGGCACATTTTATTAATCCTTCCCTTCAACTATTGGTAATTGAACCTGAAATGCTTTCTTAATCAAATGTTAAACTAATCAGGTAGAACATCAGATATATACAAGAGCTGGAAACTAAGTTATTTATAAATCATTACTAAAGAAAACTAGACAATGTATTGCAAGTATTACTTAATATTGAGATAATAATGAAAAAAAAACACTTGAGTAAGTTGACTGTAATAAAAAAGTATACAAAACAGTTGTTAATGTATTATGTCCTAAAAAAGAAAGATATCAATTTCAATATTATATAGATGTGAGTAGTTTGACAAAATTTAATTACAAGTAACTTATGAATGACTCATTAATTCATAAATAAAGCCAATAGTGAAAGTAATTTGTATACAAAAAGTAAGTGTGAATAAAATTGATCGTGAAACTGACTACATATGCCTCAGAGTTTAAGATTGAAAAATTCAAACTACTAAGTTGTTTAAAGGTTTTGGAGATTGTTAAGTTTTTCATTCAGATCATGAACCGATTGATGTTAAATCACTATTTGTTCCTCACAAAATCTGGTATGCTGAAACTGTAAATATGTACTTATTATGTACTCTAATGAAAACCGACCATGATTAATAATAATAATAATAATGGTTAGGTAGGATGTCACAAAGTTGGCCTTTATTTTTTCTAATAAATATCGATTATAATCAATAAAGTCAACGTAAATTGACTAAGATTTAAAGTGCATTGTTAATATGTCTCTATTTGCTAGTTTGTCTATCATTCGCTACGTATTGAATAGTCCAATCAACTTCAAGTAAATTGATATAAAGTGGACAGTGAAGGACAACGATAATAATAATAATAACGAAATAAAATAACCTTCAAACACAAGATCACATGACCAATCTGTTATTATCACTAAGACGTTAATAGTAATAATAATTGTGATCAATTTCATCAAGGATACGAAAAATAAAATGATTTCAACTAAAAAAAAACAACAACCAAAAAAATATATTTGTTCCCATAGAATATATGTGAAGTAAAAAAAAATAAATGGAATCTATTTTGAGTATCCGGAGTTTAGAAAGGTAAATCAAGTTGTATGATATTAGATTTATTTAATAGATTTTGTGGTTTGAAGCAAGCAATAACGATAGAAATATTATGAATATTAAGGAGAAAGAAAATAATACAATATGATTAGATCAGAAGGGGTTTGTGGAGATTATAGAAATTTTCACAGATTGAAATCATGAGTTAATTAAATCAAGTTATTATTGTAAGAAGGATAATAACACTTGTTATATTCATAGTTTTAATCTTTCATTATTTGAATGTTTGAGTAAATATGCTTATTAAATATCTTAAAACATAAACATGGACTTCAGAGAGAAAGGAAATGTCGATGGGAGGATTTAGATGATAAAACATTTATTTTGTAAACAATCATCAAAATTTAAACGAATAGTATCCAGAATAAATTGGGCATTAAGTAAAGCAGAAGTTTCATACACATAGTTCCCTTTATTATTTTGAAAAGAGCAAGAACAAAGATTCTAGTAAAATAGTATGAATCCATTTTTATAAGGTATATATTAACAATGTTCAGTCGATTAATTTTATTTACACCCTTGATATACTACATGAATATGTATTCAATATAACTTCCAACAAAACTCATTTATGTAAGTAATTTAAACCCATTATGTAATTATAATTTTAAATACCACAGGTTGTAAGCAGCTGACGAGAACCTACGAAATAAAAAAGAATTCATGCTATTCTGCTAGAATCTTTGTTCTTGCTCTTAAAGTAGAAGTCAGTAAATATAAAGTTATATAACTATGCCTAGTTAAAAAGCTCCAACAGTTCCAGGTGGAACTGTTTACAGTTCAAAATCTGGTATTACAAAAAATGTAATATTATATTTATGCTTTAGATAGACAGACACGGGTATCATCAACATAGAGCATCGTTTCTCAAGGTAGGCAGTAGTTAGTCATACTTAACACAAGTCCTAAACACCTCAGTCAATGAAGACACACTAACTGACCAAGCGACTTGTCATCTTTGTCAAGTGGTACACGCCTAACTTCAACCAGTGCTCAATCGATGATTCCACGAAACACGAGCAATACTTCGAGGACAGCTATGATTAAAAACTTACAGACTACGCATGTCTTCTAATCGCGTGACTTAATGTTTAGAAATATGCATTATTAACATAGAATTTTACACTGTAGAATAAAATAGTACCGTGTACACAGTTATGTTAGTTCAAGTGACTAATAAAATTTCAGTATCATTCAGTTTACAAAAGTATTTAAATAAGCCATCTAGTCGGTCATTAACAGACGAATGACTTAACCACTAAGCCATCACCCCACTAATACTCATGAACACCATAGCTATATTGATATAAATTACTTTAAAAGTAAGTCACAGGATTTAATAAAACCGTCCAAATCGTTTCACAGTGAGCTGCCCGTAGATTAAAAGAGAACCCTGATTGCCAACCAGTAACATTACTAGTGGTTAGTTTAGTGTGATAATTGAACAAAATAACATATACGAAGAAACAGAAGTGGTTAATCCCAATGAAATAGATTAGTTCATTTAAATAACTTTATAGTACCACAAAACTATATATATTGCGTACGAGATAGTAATGTTACTACTAATACTCATTTGACCTCGATTAATGTCTTCAAAATAACTAGTCATTTAGTCATAAGTAACGTAGAACTATGTGCATGTACGCCCCGGTTCAATTTGTTACGCTACATCAGCACAGAGATGAAATTATCAAAATAATTACCAGAGTAGAAGTAGTAACAGCATCAATGAAAGTAGGAAACATTAGGGACAATATCATTCGAGAAAAAACAATTGTTTTGTGGAAGTATTAGATAATTTTGAAACTGAAGATTTAAGGAGAGGCAGGATGAATGCATCCATGTCACTCAGACGTATTCTAGGCTTTCTCATCTGACATCATCAGCTATCAGTTACAAAGGTAGCGCGGACCCCAACCAGATAGTCTGGAAATACCAACATGGTTCATTTCGACAGTCGATAATTCTATGGACTGATGGCGGGTTTTAAATTGCCCATCTCCAGTTTTCTTTTAACCTACTTCGAAATCAGTAAACATCCCGTATCGAGGTAAGTGATAGTTAGGCATTGCGAAATAATGTCTCAACTTAGTTGATGAGGATCCCCAACTTCATTATATCCGAATAACACCTTCAGTTTTCCCTTCGAAATTGTAGCCTAGTTAGTTAAATAATAATAGAATAACAAGTTTAATACAAATATTGTGATCAAAACAAGAAAATGGTGAATATGACAAAAAGTAGAACTAACCATTGAACAGTGATGAACACGGGAACCAATGGCACCAAATGATATAGCACTGGTAGAACTACTACTAGCACTACTGGCTAATCCAGAAGCATTTAAATCGACTCCTGCCGCCGCCGAAATTGGCAGATTAACGCGTCCAAGGGGTGTACCAACAATTGATGAAAATCGATTGTTATTACTCTTACTACTTAGTGATACTGGAGAAGATATAGGAGAACTGTGCCGATGATATCCAGTTTCATCAATAAAAGTTGAAGGCCAGCCTACTATGTGTTGATTTGATTTGATAAAATTACTCGATCGAATAATACTACTATTACTACTACCAGCCTGTTGTTGTAAATTAGTCGATTGCGCTGAATCATATTGCGGTAAAGTATTATCTGATTGACATGTGATAGAATCCAAGAATTCACAACGCATTTGTAAACTTTTTATATCTTTGTTATTATTTCCTCCCCTACCAGGTATACTAACTGGATTTGATGCGTAAAAATTTGGCAATGATGAACAATCACTTACACCAATATTACTACTTGTAGTGACAGTAACTAAAAACGAAGAAGAATGATGATGACGATGTTGAGGATGATCTAGTTCCTCGGAAGTAGAATGTGTCGAAATGAAACCATCATCAGATGGTGAATGAAAAACCATATCTTGAGAAAATGTTGGGTAAACTGCATTAATATCATCGAAGAAAGCGGTGGCAGCACCAGACGCAGCAGTGTTAGATGAAGTATGTTGTTGTCGTTGCGATTGTGTCAATTGAGATAATAGATCGACATCGAGATTACTGTTTAAAAATCCACCACAATCTATAAAATAGAGAAATACTTATGTAGACACGTATATGAGGATGACAACTATCTTTTTTCTCAATGTTTAGTAGAATTGCAATATTTGTCATTATCAAACATTTTTCTCGCTTGTTTAACGTGTCAGACAGCGTTACAAATAGGTGTAATTTTTAATGGGGAATTCAATCCAATTATTTAAAGCTTTTTATATGTCCCTAATGAACACGCCACTAGCGCATCCCGAATCGCCAGATGAAAAATTCAAGTAAAGCAAACTTGCAGATTGAAATGAAACCTCTATCGAAAATTACGTTCCTATATTTACGACTCATTGGCTAAATGAACAGAAGAATATTAGATATTTCATAGATATTTGACATAGAAAAGTAAATGTGCTACAAACTCATGGACACGTATTTTAACCCAAACAATTATATAATTTATAGCATATTATTAAAATAAACAACGGACAAGAAATGTACAAAAATATATACATATTTTATAGACTGCCATAATGGAGATGGAAGTGAAGCAGAAACCTTAGCGTCAGTAGTCCTCAATATACACAAGGGAGAAAACCAGAATCTCAATTACAACATGGGGGACACCAACCCAATCACACATAATGGAGAAACTCTGGAAGATGGGGAAAGTCTCACGTACATGGGAAGTATTATCGACGAACGTGGAGGATGTGAAGCAAACGTAAAGGCGAGGATTGGCGAAGCAAGGATAGCATTCAAATAATTGAAGAACACATAGAACTAAAAACAACAGTCGGCGAACCCACATCAAAGCCAGAATCTTCAATACGAACGTCAAAGTAGTTAGTTCTATTGTACGGAGCTAGAATTTGGAGACCTACTACAACCATCATTAAAAATGTACAGGTATTTATAAATAATTGTCTACACAAGATACTCAGTATCCGTTGGCCGGATACCATCAGCAACCGCCTATTGTGGGAGAGAACAAACCAGCTTCCAGATGAAGAGGAAATTAGGAAAAAACGTTGGAAGTGGATAGAAAATACATTACGGAAATCATCAAACTGCATCACGAGGTAAGCCCTAACTTGGAATCCCGAAGGAAAATGGAAAAGAGGAAAGTCGAAGAACACACTATGTTGAGAATTGGAAGCAGATATGAAAAAGATTGCTCAGGAAAGAGTTGGATGGAGAATGCTGGTGGGCGGCCTATGCGCCTTCATGAGGGGTAACAAGAGTAAGTAATAATGGAGATAATGAAAACCTAGTTAATTATTTCTAAAAATATTTTCATGAAAACATTTCTAAATGCAAATACATTATATAAACTTATCTACTAACGGAGATGTAATGGTTGACATGACTCAATCGTATTATATGAACAGATATAGTACAATACGGTCTCTATATACAGAAAATAATATATCAACTATTCTCTTCAAATAAAGTTCATTTATTTTTGTATTTTTGATCAATATCCAAGTTGATTTTAACACGTTAAACTTTACCATCTATACCTACCCCCCTCTCTGTGTGTTAATTCCCTTAGCTTATGGATTAAAACTATTCTCTTAATCAGACTTTAAGAACCACAAGAGGACGTCTGACAATTTGCCGCACTTCCTACTAATAAGTCTTATATCTATGGTGAGAGAAAATTTCTTGCCTTCAGAAAAGATTTATTTTAAATTAGTGTTAAATGATCTTTTATATATATCAGAAGGGGTTTTCGTGTATATTATAGTAATGTTAATAGTTGAGATCATGAGTCAATTCAAGCTAGACCACTATGGAAAACCTGGAAGCACTGGACGACATTGCTGAGGAGTCCCACAATAGAACGAGATGGTTGTCCAGTGCTTCCAGGTTTTCCATGGTGGTCTAGCTTCGATTGACTCATGATCTCAACTATTGAAATTTTAAATATATGTGAAGTTGCATTTCAAATAGAAGTAACGAAATAAAATACATCTGTACAGTACTATGTTAAATTTTGCGCTTTCATCATTTAGATTTTCTTTTAAAAATGTATTAAATAAATAGCAATTCTATAGGTAACAGATCAATATCATCAAGGTGAAGTTTTCTATCTCATACACACTACTAAATACAATATTAATGAGCCTAAAGTAGTAGTATAACCTACATCAGATGAGGAGGGAAAAAATTACAAAAACAGATTCCAGTTAAATCTCTGAGAAAATTGCTTAAAGATGAATTTCCATACTAATTTTTATAGTCGTTTTTTTAGTTGAAAGAAATTACCAAAATGATTGATACAAACTATAATAATTAATACTAATATAGTAATCTGTAATAGGAATTCAATTTCTGAAGCACAAGAGTAGTTATGTGTATGCTTCATACACAACTTGTGTACGGGTATAATAGGTGTTTGTGGGAGTGTTACAAAAATTGTCTTAATCCAACAATAGTTGATAACTGAGCCTATTAATAAAATAATGGAGAATTTAGGATATGTCCATTATTGTATTGAACGTTTTAAACAATCACCGAATAAGACATCTCAATTCATCAAGTCAGTCAGTCAGCTACAACGTAGGACCAGGCACATGTAAATTCATCAAGTTAGGTGTATATACCTACGAAATTTGTAGTAGAAATAAAGAATGGGAGATATAACTGATCCGACTCCATGAAGAATTGAAATCAGAGAGCATAAGACAGCTGTTCTGTTGTATTGTGGAATTCCTCATCAATATGCATCCACAATACAATTCTAAATTCAACCCAAAGGCCTGAGATTTCAAGGAGGATATAATACTACTTAGCCAATATATCAAAATTCAATGATTTGACATTCTTAATATTATAAGAGGCATCCGATTCTACTACAGAGCAATAAAATCTTTCTAATTCAAAATGGCTTTGAAACTGACTAACTTATGGTGAAATCATTTCCAAACTAGAAAATTCTCACGAAACCACCATCTTACTATAGTACATTTGTGCATTCGAATGACTTACAGAAAATTCAGCATAAGATTAGTCAAATCAGTCAAATAAATACTGAAAGCTCTGGGGCACTAAACATTTACTTTAGATATTACATACTTTTACCTACTTAAACAGGCAAAAATCTCTTTAAAGGCTCAGTAGTGTAATGTATTTCATAGAAATAAATTGATAAAGTACAGATACAAAATTGTGAGGCTTAAAAAGGTAAAACAATAAATTAATGACAACACACTGTACAGACCATACAATGGAGCACATTTGTGTACGACATCCGTCGAATCTATGAACTAAAACTGACATTTTAACAGTTGATAAAAATTAAATAGTCTTCATCATCAACTGATTTTAGCTAAACAACCATTAATAAACTAGAAGCAGTGAACAATTGTTCCATTCATATATGGGACTCCACTTCAGTAAGTGTATATCTTGGACCTCATCAAAAGAGATCGAACCCAGTACCTTCATACCTCATGGAGAGTTTTCAATTTTTAGGCCACTGAACCGGGATTCATTGGTTTACATGATTAGGTTTAACCAATTAAAAAGTTAACTCGGATGCCTTTTATATCACGATATTCACAACAGTAATCTAGACAATGCTTACAACGAAAAAAATCACTACTTTCACACAATCAACTAAAATTAGTTTTGGTTATTTTAAAGAGGGATTTAGAAAAAATCAACTCTTACTTGATTCAAGCGGTGAAGTTGGAGGCAATGTCATATCAAGAACTAAACCACTATCACGACTAGTATCATCACAATTACTAACAGAAGATGTACTAGCAATACCGATAGGCATATGATATTGATCCAAAAAAGTGTTGAAATCATTTTCTGTTTCATTAATCCCATCATTACTATCATTATTACCAGTACCACTTATGTTCATTGTAGACCATGGACAATTAGGCGAGAAGTATTGTTGTTCTGTACTAGATGTCGATTCAAAATTATCCCATAGCATATCTTAAACACAAAAGAAGAATAAGCAAATTTACGACAATAAATCAATGGATTAAGAAAAAACAATCGAATGTAATAAAAACTGTAGTAATTATTCAAAGTAAAAAGAATGTAACAAAGTAAACACGGGAGTATATATAGCTGACTGACTATGTCCCAGTGTGTTTTAAATAACGCTGTATTCATTTATTCCATAACTATGCACTAAATACATCAAAAGTAAAATACAAACCTCGAAGTTATTATTTACTGGAAATGATATAAACGATAACAGAGATGCAAGAAAACAGTCATTATTTTTGATACGATAATTTAAACTAGTAACGCATAAGGTGGAGGAGCGATAAGGTGAGGATAAGTATTAAAACAAACGAAATGTATGTAATTACAACACCTACTAGGTTGTTGTTGCTTTTTACGAGTGACCACATTTTGATAAATCCCAGAGAGCTGTCCTAACAGTACAGGCTTGGAAGTAGCCGCACCCATCATACTCTGCTTCTGATTTGGTGTCGGTAAACTAACACCACCGCCGCCAACTGTAACAACAGCCGAGGAATTAGCAGTTCTATTCAAGTTACCCACAACACAACCACCACTATAAGAACCACATCGACCTGGGTAAGTTGAAGTTGAATCCAGATAGGCAGTAGGAGGAGAAGTCAACTCTTTAACATTCATAGAATATTGTCCAATTTCAGAGGACATAGAACTACCGCTACGATGACGACCTTTATTATTAGTATCTCGTGTATAACCAGCTGTTGACATAGAATGAGTTAAAACTACTGAAAAAAATTACAATAAATAAAATTGAAATTATAGTTAATAGTTAGTGGAAATTAAACTTGGAAATACAATAGAAAAAGTGAAAGAATTAAGTTAAATCACCCAAAAATTTTGTTAATAAATCCATGTTATATAATGTATCATGGCGAAATGAAATTTTTCAGGGTGTAGAATTGTTATCGTTGAGTCATTAGAAACGAAAGAACAAATGAAGACCAAAAAAGCTCACAAAGATGACCAAATATAAAAAGCCGTCAGAAAGAAATGATTTAACACTTGATGAATAACTGAAAAGTTCATATTTACACGAAGTAGGTGATGATAATGTTGTCCAGGAAGACAATAAAATCTTCATACTTAAACTAGGTGAAAGAATATATTATCAACAAAAACATCCAATCTTTTTCATCACTGAACTTTGAGGGATATCATTTAATGTGAGGGCTGATGATATTCATCAACTGTTCGAACTTAAGTAGATAGGAATGAGATTCGAACGTTTGACCTACTTGGTTGAAGGTTGAATGTTCTAACCACTGAATACATTTAATTTATAGCATCGTATCATATCCACTAGTTTTTATGGACACCACTACTTATTAATGAACATCCATATTTGGATTGATATATCAATTGTATAATATCAAGGCACCTACATCAACTAGGTTTACACTAACAGAAAAAAGAACCTGTTCAATGCATATTTATTTTGTAGTCATGTGATAGTTGAATGTGATTCACATGGTAAAGCAACAAAATGTAAAGAATGATGTCTATGATTGTCACATTATGAACAGAGGTAGATCTACTGGAGATGGATATACACAAACACATATCTCACTATATAATGAAAATGACTAAAAAAGACAATAAATTCAAACATCAATTTGAGAAAAAAAGTGGTCAGTTGTTGATATTAGTTTTACATGAGATAGAAAGGGGTTAACAAAATTTAGTTACTGTGACGATTATTGAAAACCCAACTGGTTGATTCATTCTTATAGTTATCTAATATTAATATAGTTTACCTATAATGATTTACATTGTACACATGGGACTAAATATTTGATTATATCACGTAATGAAAAGTATGTAACAACCATAACATTTTATTCATTATATCGGATACATTTAAAAATTGTGCCCCCTGGTACGACGGAGGGCGGGGAGAGTTAGCTCTTCCTCTCCAAATGCTTACATATGGCCATGCGTATACGACCACGATCAGGGAAGTCCTACTCACTGCCTTCTCTCGGTGAGGGTGTTGTTTACGAAATTGAGAGAACGAAGCGAGAATGTCTGGGGCTTCAACTGGGTTAGTGGATATACAGGATTTACTTAAGGGAGTTGGAGAACCCTGATTCCAAACCAATAGTGCACATGGTCACCAGGATCCTAAGGAAACAAACGGCGTATGAACCGATTGTTGGTCACCGGCTACCATGGGGCTGCATCTCCTAAGGTTGCTTTACTGCCTTGTGGATTAGACAGTGGAGCAACGTCTTTCAACTCATCCAAGCCACTGGCACCAAAAAGTCTAGTGTGAGCGAAACAATCTGTGAAGATGACAGGATACTGACTACTAACATCTATCGATGTCTTGCAGGATGGGTAGTTTTTCGAGGGGCAGTCCGACTGATCTGTTGCCCCGGCAACATCGATTAGACTGTCTTACCCTCTATGGCCTGTGACGACTGATCCACCAAATGAGGCAGAAGTCCACAAGGAACTCCAAGTCTTGAAGTGCAGACAGAAGTAGTCGAGAAGTTCTTATATCTGGGTAGCTGCATAAGTGCTGGTAATAGCATGGGTTGTGAGATCAATTCACGAATAGTGAAAGCCAGAGTGGTTTATGCCAATTTGGGTCATCTTTGGCACCTTCGTGATGTCAGTCTGGCTGTAGAAGGTCGAATCTACAACGCATCGGTGATATCAGTTTTGCTCTATGCTTGTGAAATCTGGCCTCTCCGAATTGAGGATGTTAAACGACTTTCTGTGTTTGATCATCGTTGTCTCGAAGGATTGCTGACATCCAGTGGCGACACCATATTAGTAATGCAGAGGTTCGGCATCCTGTGTTCGGGAACAGTGACGATAATTCATTTGGTGTTACTATCTTGAATCATCGACTTCGGTGGTTTGGACATGTTCTACGAATGTCGTCCCAGAGAATTCCACGTCGTGCATTATTTGCCGATGCTGGAACTGCTTGGAAAAAGCGGAGAAGTGGTCAGTGTATGACATGGTGTCGTGGTATGAAAGAAAACTGTAAAGGGCTGGTTTCTTTAGGTCCTTCACGATTGCCTGGTTGGGGTCCTAGAGATGGTGCAACACAGTCGCTAGAGACGTTATCGGATATGGTTCAGAATAGAAGCAAGTGGCGATCCCGCAGTAACTTTATTTTACTTTCTTCATAAAAAGGACGTAAGTCGTTTAACTGAAAGAATTCTCTCTGGCCGTATTTTGCTAATTGAACTGTCTCTCCCATTATTATTATTATTTCATTATCATACACTAATTTCTATCCGTTATTGTTCTCCCTTTTCTTATACATTCTTTATCTCTTCACATTCTCATTATTATTATTGTGTGGCGCAGATGTAACTGGTGGCCATCTGTACCAATATTTATGTGTTCAAATAAATAAGTATCACTATTACCCTTCATATCCACAGTATGGCTTAGAGCTAAACATACGAGTATGGAACTGACTGATGATAACTTAACTCTTTTTCATTTCGATCCAGATGATGATGACACTAACACTACAGTTTACATAATTTATACAACATCTAAAAGCCTATCTTTCATCACATGGTTGTTCCTTTCTACAAAAGACAAATAGCTAAGTCTGTGTAAACATAGTAAAAATGATAAGAAAAAACACTAACATTGTTCACCATAAACGGTTTAGAATACAATTTTAAATACATAACTTCAGGTCTCTAAGGATTAGTCATATCATTTTTTACTATTTAATTTTTTATGGATTTGCTTAACTGGCTTCGAGTAATACTCTAACTATGCGAGGGTGATACTATCTGGTTGCCCAAACCGAAATAGGTAGAATGAGGTTTGAACATACTACGTAGTGGTTGAAAGAAGAACTCCCTAACCTTTAACAAAGTGGTACGATGAAACTCAGCCAACTCATGGTCCAAGGGAGGGGTTGTACTCTCGACTATTCACGCGTGTGATGACAGTAAAGTGTTGTATGATAGTAAAATTGGAAAAGTACAGAGCTAACACGATCTAAAAGTACTCGCAAAAGTTGTATAACCGACCTCTCCCAACCAAGTTCTCTTTTTCGTAACTTCAAAGAGAAATATTCTTCTACAGTGTGAACAACTAGGAAGTGACAACCACTTTAATTCTTTTAACAACACTCGAGAACAACTATATTCTGTCACAGATACACTATGTGAAAATTTTCTATCAAAATTTAATTTATACTATTGGTCATATAATAATATAGTCTACATAAAACTAAACTTAATAGACAAAAAACCCATAATAATAACGAAAATCACATGAGACAAAAAAGCACTAGTTAAATAGGAAGAAAAGGAAAGTGAACAAAACCATTCAAGTACAAAATAATTGATTATTAGTGCAAAAAAGTGCAAAGGAAAAGAGAAGTACAAAGTAGTAGTAATAAATACATTTTGTTGTTGTTTGATAGGATCGATAATTTGTTTATCACTAATACTACTAACCATCCCTAATGGCCATCACCTTATTTTTATTAGTGGCATTAGCATACGAACAAAAACAGAAAAAAATAGAGTTAGTATTTAAAGTCAGATCAAAATAACCAACTTAGAGTTTGAACATTGAAAAAAAAATCAAGACGACTGACGATTTGGATTTAAAGCCAACAAGCTAAAAGAAATACGCATCATTACAATGTTGTAATGATATTAACCATCACTACCAACACCATTGTCTCTATTATATATACTTCCATATACTGAAGCGTTGAAGTATAAATAAGAGAAAAAAGATAAGTTTACGTTGAGATTCCAAATTTTACCACATATGACAGACTACAGCAGTACTATTTCGTAGTTCCAAAATGACTATTGATAAAAAAAAATAATGGTACACCTGACCATCAGCTAGGATTGTAACCTAAATATGACTTGCGTACAGTATTTTTAACAATTCGAATAAAGAAGACGCTTCTGCAAAATGAACACGACCAGTGTTAATCAGTCATAACATGGGATCTATTGTGCTACTACTATATATACCAAAGTGTATTATTTACCGACTTTTCCAAACAATCTTATCTGAATGATAACCGTTTATTTTTGAACAAAAAAAAACGATAAAAAATTTCTTTCTGAACAATATTTGACAAGCTTACTTACCGTTATGAAATTGGCCAGGTATAGGACGACTTCGTGAATGTGAAAAGTGAGTATTCTGAATCGGAGAGCAAGTTGAACTAACTGCACTGGGTGATAAAACACCCAAGGAAGAGCATGCTCCAATTCTAGCATCTGAATTTGATGGACCTGGTAATTGAGTAAAATGCTGCCTATCATTACCAGGATTAGCGATCAAGTTGAACGTGGGCCACATACTTGTTGTACGGGGGGATGTACAACGAGCAAGACGACGCCCACGAATGCACGATTGATTTGGCGCTGAACCGAGAGGTGATATCACGTTTGACGTCATAGGGTTTGGTGGTATATGAGAACATCTTCCAGAATGATCACTGGTACTAACTGAAACAAAATATAAGGAGAACAATATGTATATTCAAAACAAACAGAGAGCACAACTATAAATGTTTGTAATCGGATATTACTTACTGATAAATATATAGGTAAATCTTAAAACAAGCACGAGGCAGTTGTAACTCCCTATTAAACATTTAATAATAGATTTCTGATAAGATGGAAGAATCTAACCTGTCGAGTATGGAATAAACTTTAGGCAACCAACTTGGCTTTGTTACATTACGCTACGCTATGCAATCAGCAGGAGATATACACAAATATACATTCTTCACCTAATAGGGTGTACATCGAGCTTTAATTCCGCAACTGGTACAAAATGTGAATTAATAAAAAATCAATCGTTTATAAGAAGTTTTGGTGTTTCTAGAAAAGATGGCTATTAATATACAACACAATTGGGATAGTATAAGACAAAGTAACAATAAACGAAAAGACAGGTTAATAGTAATAATGATGGAGAATACTAGATATAAGTCTATAGCAGAATCTTAGCTTTCAAACTGTGAATACAAAAATTTTGTACAAATGAGAAGGGTGTGCATTAGTGTTAACTTTTCAAGGTGAATTGTAAAAGGATGTTTGTTTATCAGGTTACATGAGTGACAATGATAAACAGGAACTTGGTCGGTTCAAATTAACAATTCTTAGTGATTCCCCATGTTTAATTACTGCAAGCAAAAGAGATGGAAAAGGCAGTGGCTGTGGGCAACACCAGACAGCTTTTCAGACTAATAAAAGAAACTGGAATTAAGAAGTCATGAGTGAGTGAGACGATCTCAGAAAAAGACAACACTCTTATCTGCCCTCTGCCCAGACATTTAGAACGATGGGCGGAATACTTCAAAGAGCAGTTCAGCTGGCCTTCAGCTACCCTATAACTACCCACCATTCCCAAACAGCTTGAATGGAACATTGAAGTAGGTCCTTCGACTCTAGTTGAAGTTTAAAAGCTGTAACTAGTCTGAAACAAGGAGGAGCAGCTGATTCAGATGGATTGGCTCCAGAGGTCTCTAAGGATGGTGGTCCAGTTTTAGCGATTAGGTTGACTAATATTTTAGCTAAAATCTGGGAGTTGGACGTAATCCAACCCGACTGGTCGCAATCACTGACTGTTCCAATATATAAGGAGTCAAAATCATCCTGTGATAACCATAGAGCGGTTGGTTTGACTAATATAGCATCTAAAATACTAGCATCATAATTATCGGACGCCTAAGACTCGTGAACTGCAAACACGAGAAGTCAGGCTGGCTTCAGACCTGGTCGTGGCTGAATCGAACACATATTAACCACTCGTCAGGTTTTAGAACACAGGCATCCTTACCCGCGTCCGACAATGATAGTTTTCCTGGACTTTAAAGCAGCATTTGACTCTACTGACCAAGAGGTTCTGTGGTAGTGTCTGTCATTAAAAGGTTTACCTCAGAATTACATAAACCGTGTGAAGGCCATTCACTCGAACACTACTAGTCGAGTTACAACTTATGGTGAACTGTCATCTGATTTCGTAACTTCAAGTGGTGTCCAGCAAGGCCGTTTACTATCTCCATTCCTGTTCGACTTCATCATAGATCTACTGAAAGAAATGAAGTTCTCGTCGACTGAATTTTCGGGCACTGATCTCTTTCCAGGAGGTCCACTAATCCACTTAGAATACACAGACGATATAGTCCTGTTTGGTGAAGACGCTGATGAAATGCAGTCTTTTGGTGGCACTGAGCAACAATGCCACGATGTTTGGAATGAGTTTCTACCACCCCAACCCAAATGCAAAATCTTGCTTCAGGACTGGCCAACGTCAACACCTGAACTAAGGATATGGAGTGAAGTAGTCGAACGCGTCGATAACTTCAATTAACTTGGAAGTCTGATCAGCCCATAATGGGTTGATATCTAACGAAATCTCTGCACAGATTCAGGAAGTTCGTTTGGCTTAAGTCAACTTACGTCACCTATGGCGAAAGCGAGATATCCGTCTGTCAATTAAAGGACGAGTGTGCTGAGCAACAGTTTGTTCTATTCTACTTTACGACTGCGAAACATGGTCATTAAGAGTAGAAGATGCTCGTAAGTCACCAGTATTTGATCACAGATATCTTAGTGATATTGCTCTCATCTACTGGGATCACCGAGTAAGTAATAATGAGGTTGGATGCAGGGTATTTGGGAATGATGGTAAATCAGTTGATGAGGTTGTAAATGTTCATCGACTGAGATGGTTGGGCCACGTGTTACGTATGCCTGAACATCGATTACCATGACGAGCAATGCAGACTAGTGTTGAGGATGGTTGGATGAAAGTTGGGGGCTGCCAAACCAAATCGTGGCATCAGTCCTCGAAGTCATTAACTTCTAGTCTGAGCCATGTTGGTAGATGCAAACTACATGGTTGGGGTCCTCCTGACTATCGTAACCAATGGTTGGAAACTCTTGGTGACATGGTTCAGAATCGATCACAATGGTGTAGGTGTATACACTCTCTGTCTTCCCTTAAACCGTGAAATTAAAATTGCTTTACATCTTCCTTTCTACGAACTAATTCTTTCTTCCTGTATTATATCGTTATACACAATCTTTGTTTTATACATTACCATCATTGAAGTGACTACTATTAATTTGGTGTTCATCTTGTTGTGCTAATGCGATGTGGCGACTTCACGTTGCGTGTATGTGCCTGATCCTTCGTTTTAGCTGACTGACTTAAATTCTACTTTATGCTGGCATATCAGTAATATTGAGGACAAGCGGGGTGTTTTTAGGGACCGTTGTAAACAATAATAAGTAAGTAAGAATACTGTAATATAAGACTTGTTTACCAGTACATATTTTGCGAATACTTTCTAAAAGACTTTCACGCTGAGTATTTCCTTACTAACTGAGGAAAAGATTGGAATTTGAAAGGTTTTCAACTAGTAGTGAAGATTAAATTTCAACGAATAGACATTAATGAAGTAAGATTCTACACTATGGTCTAACTATCTTCAGTAATACTGAAATGATGGACAAACATTAAAGTCGCCGGTGAGTAGACAACCTAGAGAATGTTTTCTAATCGCACACGACACCTAATCAAGTTTGCTCTTGAGTAAGTGTTTTGTATGTCTGTCATTTAATCGAATAAAATCGTATTCTTCTGGATAATTATCCTTGATCTTAGTTTTTTCGACAGCTCGAGTCTATAAATCAGTAGCATTCAGCCACACTGTATCAACACATTTTAACTTACTAGTATAGGGGTTGTGGAGATTATTAAGTTTTTGATTGAGATCATGAACCGATTGATGTTAGACTACCTTTGGAAACCTGGAAGCACTGGACGGCCGTTTCGTCCTAAATAATCTCCACAACCACTATACTAGTAATCAACATGTGCTCACTAGTGACTAGCTTCGTGAGGAAATTCTTGGAGTTCTAGTGAGAAGCTGTGACCAGTGGAGCTAATCCATGTCGGGTAGAGACAGGTATCTACCTCATTACAATGGAAGTTGGTCGCGCAATTTCGTGGATTGGTTGGTGTTGGACACTATCACTACTGGATGCCAGCTCAGTCGTCCAGTAGGTTAAGCGTTCGCACGCAAGACCGAAGGTCCTGGGTTCGAGTCCCACGGGCGGGATCGTCGATGTGCACTGCTGAGGAGTCCCACAATAGGACGAAACAGCCGTCCAGTGCTTCCAGGTTTCCAAAGGTGGTCTAACAACAATCGGTTCATGATCTCAATCAAAAACATTTTAACTTAATTCATATATTTTCCGAACTCAAATGTCTTTCATGAAACTACTTTCGTAACAATATAAAATAAATCATACTTTTTCATACAGTGGAACATAATTCATTCAGTTTTACGCTGGATTGATGAGAGGTTGGACTCTCTTCACATTGCAGAAAAAATTTAAAACTGGTACATATGTGGTCATGAAACAATGACAGTAGCATCACTCTTGTTTGAGGTTACCAGAATGAAAATGGAACTAAAATATTGAGATCATGAATCGATCTAAGTTAGGCAACTGTTGAAAATTCGAAAACATTGGACAACCATTTCATTCTAATATAGTACTTATCAGCAATACGAAACCATTTTCGCGAGACCGGCAATCGAGTCCAGGACCTTTGATCTCACACTCAAAAGTTCAAATTCTAGACCACTGAGCCAAAATTCAATGGTGAACAAGTCTAGCTTTAATTAATTCATAAAATCAAACTAATTTTGTAGGCATTTTCATAGATATGTAGCTCAAAATGTACATGATTATATCGATAATAAAAGCTAAAAGCAAAACTAATAATCGACTGAATTTACTTGACTTATTAAATTCTATTGTAGAAGAAGGGAAATTTATCAAATGCTGATGGTAATGATGATGATGTTGACTAGAGGTTGTACGTTGAGATATCTGTTGTTGTTGAGGTGATGAAGTAATTATAGACGATAAATTTGAAAAATTGGCGTTTAAATTGGACATTAAATTCGGTGGTAAGTTATTATTACTGTTATTTATACCAGCAATAGTAGGGGTAGTAGTGGAACTAGTGCCTAAAATACGTAAATTGCTATTCACAGCACTTGGTGTAGATAGATGAAGATGTGGAGAATAAGCAGAATATTGTTGATTTTCGCTTCCTCCACCACCATGAGAAATCATCGAAATATCAGAAGGAATATGACGATGATATTGAAAAGAACTAGTTGTTGTTGTGATTCCCGTCGTTATTGAACTAGATGATAGTGAAATATTGTTTGATGATAAACTATTATTATTATTATTATTATTAGATTCCATAATCAGTCCAGGTTGTTCCTGTTGTACATTTGCAGAAAAATCGCGTCCAATCGACATTTCTGAATCGCAATGTGCAAAGGCACAGAAAGGACCACGTGGACAATAACCAGAATTTAATACATCGTTGCATTTTGTCGACTTATATATCTGGTGAATTATATTTAATTTGTAGTTAAAAAGAGAAATAACAAGAAAACAATAGATAAGAGCAGATAAAATGCATAAGCGAAAATTGTAATGTAATAACTAAAAGTTACACGAACGAAAGGCTAAATATTTCGAGAAACTAAGTTATACAGAATGTTGTAGACTTATTGATTGAAACACTCAACCTTCAGGTAGTAGGTTCAAATCCTGGTCTACCTTCAAAGCCTAGTCAACTTAATAGAAGCAGTAGCATTAATCACACAACCAGAGTGGCTTAAGGCCGAGTACCTGGACTTGGTATATGAGTTAGATTATTATTATTATTAGTAGTAGTATACGACTGTGGAGATTGTTGAGTTTTGATTGAGATCATGAACCGATCAGTGTTGGACCACCACCAAATACCCAGAAGCACTGTTTGACGGTCGTTTTGTCCTAGCACGAGACTCCTCAGTAATGCGCATCCATGGTCCCGCACGTGGGATTTAAACCCAAGACCTACAGTCTCGTGCGCTTAACCTCTAGACCGGTGAGCCGGCATCCAACGGTGTTAATTATTACTATGTTGTTGACTGAAAATTTACCCTTAAAGTCGGATTGAGTGGGACTATAACTTATGGACGACCCAATCAGATTTAAGATAGTGATTCTGGGATTTTAGCATGAAATTCGTTCATACATATAGCTAAATAGAATTTTAGTATTACAGATAATGCCAGTTAGTCATAAGAACTCTAACTTCTGATCCTAACTTTTAACTTTACCTCCTAATACTAATGCCTCACAAATTAATAACCACGTTTCGATCCTAGTAAGTGGTTGCAGTTTCTCAAGGAAACTTTAGTACTACACGAAGATCGTCCACAAATCACAGTCTCCCTGTCTTGTCTTGAGACAACTATTCATGATAGACGAAAAAAGATGAGATGATTTCCAAGCAAGCAGAAAATAAAATAACCATTGGGATATAAAACGACTGAACTTGATGTCGATTATCGACTACACAAAATGAATATAAAACTACGATTACATAATGACCTAAGGTAGAAACTGATAATATAGTGAAATGCCAGGGTACGGCCGAGGGTGGGGAGATTTAGTTCTTCCTCTCCAAATGCTTACATATGGCCATGCGTATACGACCACGATCAGGGAAGTCCTACTCACTGCCTTCTCTCGGTGAGGGTGTTGTTTACGAAATCGAGAGGACGAAGCGAGAATGTCTGGCGCTTCAACTGGGTTAGTGGATATACAGGATTTACTTAAGGGAGTTGGAGAACCCTGATTCCAAACCAATAGTGCACATGGGCTCCAGGATTCCGAGGGAACAGATGGCGTATAAAAAATCGGCTAACATGAGACTGCATCTCCCAAACTTACTCCACTGCCTTGTGGATCAGACCTTTAGGTCGAAGGCTCCGGGTGTGACCACTTCATTTTGGCCCCCAGGCAGAATCACAGCCCACACACAAATCAAGTGACATGTGTGACGTATGTGTATTTGGTGCCCCTTTATACTAATATTTATGTGTTCAAATAAATAAAGAAATAGGAAGATATACGAACAGATGTGGAAACAATAACGACATCTATTAGTTAGTTAAACCAAAGTGTTACGAAAAACCAGTGGATTTCTACTAAGTCTATTGCACTGATAGTATTGTGGACCGCGGGGTGGCTGCTCTGATTTCTACCGACTGACCAACTTCAGATATCCCAGTACGACCCCAATACTGTTCCCAATCTTCAATATATCAGAACACAAACCATAGATGAGAATTGCTTATGGGGTCAGGAGGATAAGAATTTACAGACAAATGCATATTTAAACAGTTAGGACTACCGTGAATATTGACCAACAGGAAAATGACACGTGAAATAAATATTGACCAATAGGAAAATGACACGTGAAATAAATATTGACTAATAGGAAAATGACACCATTTCACGTTCAAGGATAGCATTAGACTTAACAGGATAATTTTTGGGATATTTTTCTGAATATCCCAACAGATAGGTTCTCCTAAACTCATCTCATCAGGCTCTGAACACGATGAAGAGCGAAAACAAGTCAGATCTACGTTAACCAAAAGTCCAATGAACGACGGTGAGCAGTTATGGGCAACGAAAGCAAGAAATGTAAAAGGTAGTGACTGTAGGAAACACCAGACAGCCCTCAAATACCCTGGTACAGCCGAGAGTGGAGAGAGTTTGCTCTCCCTCTCGAAATGCTCTCACATGGCCACGCGCATATAGCCTCTGCCAGGGAAGTCCTACTCACTGCCTTCTCTCACCGGGGTGTTGTTTACGAAAATGAGAGGACGAAAAGAGAATGTCCGGCGCTTTAACCGGATTCCAAACCAATGGTGCACATGGGCTCCAGTATCCTGAAGGAACAAATGGCGTATGAACCAATTGTTGGTCACCGGCTTCCATGGGACCGCATCTCCTTACGACGCTCCACTGCTTTGTGGATCAGACCTTTAGGTCGAAGGCTCGGGGTGTGGCCCACTAAGAAAACCATCTGCTTCGGTTTGGGCACCCGGGCAGTATCACAGCCCTCACACATATCGAATGAGATGTGTGGCGCATATGTATCTGGTGCCTCCTTGTACCAATATCTATGTGTTAAAATAAATAAATAAAGACAGCTTTTCAGACTAATAAAAGAAACTGGAATTAAGAAGTCATGAGTGAGTGAGACGATCTCAGAAAAAGACAACACTCTTATCTGCCCTCTGCCCAGACATTTAGAACGATGGGCGGAATACTTCAAAGAGCAGTTCAGCTGGCCTTCAGCTACCCTATAACTACCCACCATTCCCAAACAGCTTGAATGGAACATTGAAGTAGGTCCTTCGACTCTAGTTGAAGTTTAAAAAGCTGTAACTAGTCTGAAACAAGGAGGAGCAGCTGATTCAGATGGATTGGCTCCAGAGGTCTCTAAGGATGGTGGTCCAGTTTTAGCGATTAGGTTGACTAATATTTTAGCTAAAATCTGGGAGTTGGACGTAATCCAACCCGACTGGTCGCAATCACTGACTGTTCCAATATATAAGGAGTCAAAATCATCCTGTGATAACCATAGAGCGGTTGGTTTGACTAATATAGCATCTAAAATACTAGAGTGAAACAAAATAGTAATAGTAGTTACTCAGTCAGTCAGTCACGTGTGCTGTTACGGGTATGAGGGCTGATATCACTTCCGGCTGCCCACACCGTGGAAGGGTATTTCTTGAGGAACCTGAAAAGGAAATTGGATTAGTATTGGTCTTGACGACCTGGGAGCGTGACCGCAGAGCCCAAGGGACAACTGCTTGAGGCCGGTCGCGCACGGCCTTTTTGTAGAAGGTTTTTGATGTGTTAGCTCCGTTCTTTAAAGGGCCTTACCGCCGGAGACGGAAATCCGTGAGGTAAGGTGAGGTGTGACATTTTTAGGGCCGACCTTTTCTAACCTCACCCCTCCTTGTGGGAAGGCAGCATCACTGCAGATGCTGGTTGTCCGAGGGGAACACTTTATTGCTGTCACATCCCTCTACAGTCAGCAGTACGACTTCGCCCTCAGACCTTGAGTTGCTGCTTTTAGTCTTACCGTTCACCAATCGACCTGCCTGGCATGGTAGAACCTACAGGAACATATGTTCCAGCCAATATAGCTCGGTTGGGTCATCATGATAGGCAAGCCCGACCACCGCGTCAAGGTAGCAGCTTCGGTCTAGTGTCAAGTAAAGTTAAAATTACCGTTTAAAGGAGGGAGAGTTGGGAATGCACTGTAATGAATGATTATTGTATTAAGGAATCCTTCAGTTAAGGCTAAACGCTAGTTTCATCACGATAATCAGATTACATACTACAAGTCACAAATTAAAAAGGTAGCATTACTTAAATCCATTTGATGCATGGCATATCACGTTCCTTACAAAGTAACATATGAAAATCACCACCACCTACTATAAATAATACTTCTCTAGTCACATACTAAACAACTTTGTCTGGATAAATTTTAGTATAAAAATCAATACAAATAACAGTAGAAAAATGGAGATTATGTTTATTTGTACTTTGCAAAGTGATATACTTATTATTGAGGAACGATGAACATTGTAATTACCTAAATAGACATGAATGTCATGCACACTGAAGAAAAATCAATGTACACTATCAAACATTAAAGTACAAAGTATAATTAGAAATAAATCAATATACATCATGTGCTTGTTCATTTTCCTATCACGTGCCCTACATAAGATTACAGTTACTGAATGACTAAACTACCAAATATTAGTTTTTTTCGCAATCGCTCTAATGATATACACGTAAAGTCCCTGTTGATAATGAAATATAATATTTGAAGTTTTCGCGATTGTTTATCTTCAAAGTGGATTACTACTACCACTGCCACTCAGGGAGTGTCAATCGATTTGTCGTAAATGGTTATATGTATATGTATAACCTCAATAAACGAGTGAAATCTCTTTAAAATTATTTTTTTCTTATAAGACGATCTGGAATGTAAACTAACCAGTTGATAGCAAGTAAAAAGAAATGACAGTAACGATAACTTTTTTCAAAATTATATGGATTGCATTTTCCTGTAGAGCGATATTGAACATTCACTCAAGTTAAAAATGTAAACTAATAGATGACGGGTTCAAAGCTCGACGCGAGACATGAAAAATCCTGGATTTAATCACAGATATGGTCGTGGATGCAAATCACTGAGAAGTCCCATACTACGTACGATAAAACAGCTATTCATTGCTTTCTAGTTTTCAATGGTTGGCAGCCAGTGGTGTAACTTATGATATAATTGATGTATTTAACATATAAACATATAAAAAATAACCTATTTTGATACCTAAACACTCATTACTTTTATAAGTGTATGTACAATTTATGAGAAAAAGAGTTGAGTAATTTTAGGAGATAAAATTTCACAGATTGAAATCATGAGTCAATTGAAGCTAGACCACCATGGAAAACCTGGTCTAGCTTCAATTAACTCATGATTTCAATCTGTGAAATTTCTAAAATCTCCACAAACCCTTCTCATAATAAGATTTAAATAAATAAAATCTGCGAAGAATTCATCATTTGTACAAAACACGAAATTAATATGATTATTTCGATTTATATAGCGAATATACATCTATTTATTTGATAAGTTCATTTTGAGCAACTGTAACACAATCTTTAAACAAATCAGACTGTTTACTTTTAAAAGTTTTTAACTTAATTGTTCCAATGAAAAATTCTAGTCTGATTCATTTATAAGGCAATATAATGGGTACAATGGTACAATGAATCACAAACGTTTAAAAATGTTAAATAGAGCAAGAACAAAGATTGGTGCAGAATAATATGAATTCATTTTATTTCGTTAGGTTCTCATCAGCTACTTACAACCTAAAATATTTGAAATTCAATGTTATTATAGATATTGACATACTTATACAACAGAGGGCGATGAAGGAAGAATATATGTAACATAATGTGGTAAAGATTTCGTTAGAGTTAATGAGGTCGTAAAATTTTGTTTCGAATATATAGAGTTTGGGAGGGAAGGTTCCAGAAAATTGAAATAGTGATTAGAAATCATGGATTTAAAACACGTTAGACGATTATGTAATGAAGTAACTGAAGATAGATTAATGTTAATAAAGAGAGGTATGAATTGAAATTGGTCAGTTATGAATGATGTAATTACAAAAATTCAGAAAGAGTTGAAATGACGTAATAAAAATAAATAAAATAAAAGGGGTGGGGTGAATGTTACCAGGGCAAAGAAAGATTTATTACTGTTTCTTTTTGTATACAAAGATCTGGTTTTAAACGTTTGATCGCTATTGCTTCCGCGAATTTCAAAAGGTTTGAATTTGATTGTTTGTTGATCACCTTGAAGGACTTCAGTATATTGACTTCGTGTCCTGTGTCAAGGAAATGTCTTGCGACTTACAAGGAGTATGATAGTCGAGGAGTTAATGTTAGTGTTATCGTTTCATTTCAAATGGGGTTTTAAACTTATCCAAATAGATTGGTGGTAACATCTTTGACTACAACACTGAGTGATAAGTTCAAATCCATTGTTTAGGGACACTAATTACTTCAAGGCACATTATAATGAAAGAATATAAGCACAAAATCGGGTTCCTTAACCATTATAAGTAACATATATACATTTAAGAAAAAATGAACACATTATTAACTTACTTCAGGGTGAAATTGTTGTTCCGTTCGCGTATGACAGTAAACACATGCATCGCCAGTATCACAAAGGGTACTGTCTTGCCACTCATCACCAGGTCGAACAATAGGACAAGGAGTACTACGATACAAGAATTTATCAGGAGCTCTTCGTTTATCTTTTCCATTGTGGTAAAACGGACATGAATAACCTTGACGACACATTCGCGGTGGTTTCTTGCATAATTCAGTTTTATAACAGCCAAGTACATGGAACATTTCTGAATAAAAGATTTTTTAGTATAAATAAGTTATAAAGTTAAAATGAGCTTTTAAAGTAAAGGAGAGTATTGGAGAAATATAACACAGGGAAATCAATTTGAAATGATGAGATAATAAGACAACAGCTATTTAGTGTTTAACAGATTTTAGTGATTTCAATAATCAATTTGTAAAGACTGTTAATATATAAACTAAGTTAAATTTCATAGCCCTGAGAAACACATACAGTATGATTGGTTTCTTCAAGTTAATAGTAAAGTCGTGCTGGTTTTATGGTCTCTGATTCCAAAAATATGCCACAATTCCCTCCCCACAAACATGTCAGCTCATATATCACGACGATGATGGCTTTCTTGATAAAGTAGTGAGATTTCGATCGAAAACATCCAGTTTTCTGGACTTGACAGCGATATGCTTAATCTCACCTAAGACTATCTGATTTTAAATGGAACACAGATGTATATTAGACTGCAAACTCAATGGTTATTAAATATCAATCCTCCATGAAATGATACAAGGTTTTAAAACTTTCAAATTTAACAAAGGAGTTAAGAACAGGACCAACCATCCCGTCCCATTAAAGATAATTACCATTCCATTTGGGATCTTCACTCAATACTCGCTCTTTTTCTAAACTTGCAGGTAGATTAACAGTGAATTTTGAAGAAGCATCCTGAACTTCGCGAATGTCATAAACAGGTAAACGGATGTCATCAGGGCCATGTGCAAAAGCACAATGCAGACCATTCTTGACACAGGCTCCGTTTTCCATAGTTTCATATATACAATTTCCAGTTTTGAAATAGCGCGGATGATAACGTCGTTCCGTGTCACCAGCATTGCGGTGCGCATACGGGCATCTACAAGAATAAGGAAAAATGTTTAAGATAACTTAATGGATTTGCTTATAACTAAAATTGCGAACGAAATTAGCTGGATTGATTTCAAAGATGGGATGAAGGCTGTCACATCCTGGTTCTTCACATCGTGGAAGGATATTTCATGAGGTATATGGAAAAGAAACTGTGTAGAAGGTGGGTCTTGACGACGCAATAGTATAACCGCAGACTCATGAGGCCAGTCACATGACATTTATGTGAATAGGGTTAGCTGTGTTAGCCCCGTACTATTATGGTCTTATTTCGGTGGCAAATTGTCCAGTTTCTCTAAGGGTGACTTTTTATAGCCCCCATATTTTGCATCATGGGTGGCTAGTATCACTGGGGATGCTGGTTGTCTTAAAGAGACAACCGGCTGTTATCAAACCTCCGTACAGTAGGCAGTGCGACTTCCGGAGGTGTGGAATTCTCAAACACAACTTACGAGAAAAAAACAATATGGAATGCCAGGTCAACTTTCAACACATTTTCGTCACATTACTTCGTGGGCTTTCAACCCATTTTTTCAGTCAGTCAGTGACAACGTAAAACTTCGTACGTACATACATCAGTTCAAGTTGCTATACCACATTAGCAGAGAAATGAAGTTGTCGATTTAAATCCCGTAGTGGTGTGGGCAGCCGGGAAGTGATATCAACCCACATACCCGTAACAGCACACGAGACCAAGTTGGTCACATTCAAACCCACTTTCTAGCATGTGTTTACTGATAAATACTGAGTCCACAAATTATAGCCATTGTAATCAATATATGACCGATTAACTTAATTTTATTCTTTCATTCTTTTGAGGTCTTCATCAATACATTTTCCTTACATTTTACCTACTAATCATTGAGCAAGGGATATCTTTAAAACGTTATGAATTAGTCCTCTGGTCTAACTAATTAGCATAGATTTTGTCTCATACTGTAAAAATTTAATCCATAATTAGTAGCTAATCGATTCATGATAGACTGTCCTCAGATACCGAAGGGAGTAACATGTGGAGACTACTGTAAGGTCTTTTAATGCGTGACCGAAGAATTTATTTTCGTAGCATAATATCTGACCGAAACGAAAATTTGAGTTTCTGAATTTACTAAAATCTACCAAACTGAGAAAACCTACACTGTTTAGAAAACGAGTACTAAGTCATGTTATCGAATATTTACTGAAGGCATCCAAATGGGCAAATACACGTATTCCATTGGACATAAATCCAGGACTGATTTATGGGTACAACTACCATATATTCACTATCAGTCTACCGAACGAGTGCGAACATATGGCTTAACTGTGAGGTCCAGAAGGAAACTAAGAGATATAAAGACAACTGGTGAGTGCTAGCTTAAACAACCCATTTTTATCATGGTAAAGGTTTTACAGAACCAGTAAATTATCGTACACCTCTGTCAATGGTGAGCCTTGACAGCATGGCATAATTTAGAATTAAATTAGGATTGTTGTGCGTTAAGATGGTACTAAGTTTTATATTTAGTGACTGGTTACTTCAGATAGTTATACATTAGTAAGCAGACTTGACAACATAAACAGTCTGAAACCACCAAAACCGTAAGCAACATTTCAATTCCTAGTTATTAATTTGATAAGCTGAAATCAAGTGCAAAACAAACCTTAAAATGGCCGTTTTCTAAAACCGAACTTTGCCACGTACTAGCCTTGAGGGTTAGATAGTCAGTTGTTGAACGTGCAATGACTCGTGTAGAAAAAACTTTCGATAGGTTTTATTATTTTTTCCACAATTCATTAAAATTTTATTGCGCATCAAAAAAATTTCAGGTTACCAGTTACAAGAAAATTGAAGTGGGGAGAAATAATCAGAGACAATCAATAGACTTTTCTAATAATACTTTTTAACCGTTCAGCGTTTAAGAAGGTCTAATTGACCATCATCATAACTATATATAGACTAATAATTTTATGTCGAGCAACACGTTTACAACTAAATGTTCTGAACAAGATACTACCCAGCTTTACCTCGATTTCCTAGGTCTTCGGATGCAATCACACAAATCTAAATGGATTTTGGAACTGAATACGATGTAGCTTCGAATCGATAGTTTTACTAAAATCCTCACACGGCTACATAGATTGCGTTATTCGGAGAATTACTTCAACCTTATGGGATTCATGACAAAACAATGCCATGAAACGACATGCCTAACGACAATAGTGAAACATTACGTTGCAGTCACGTCAGTATTGAATAAAGAATAACGTAGTTTGAGCTTACAGAACTAATTACTACAAAACTGGTTTACAGGACTGCAAGCTCGGTCACAGAACAGTGCAAAGGTTTGAATCGCAGAAAATTTAAAGACGTAAAGCATCACAACTTACTCATTTCCATCAGCACATGACCCACTTGTTTCATCATATTTATCACAGTATACATCCGGATTGTAATTAAAAGTTCCATCAGGTCTCTTGAAAGGCCGCCTCCGTTTCTGGTTTGGAAAGTGCCAATGAAAGCAAGTATAAGGGCGGTGAAACTGACACTGTTGTTCAAGAAACAGGAGGCATTGTTGAGTGCGAAATTCGTTTAAATATCTAGATATTCGAGACATATAAATATATAGAATTACTTTAGGTGCCGAGGCTTTTCCTGGCGCATCGTATAAGTCTTTTGCGAGAAGAGAAACTGAATGGCATCATTATTTGTAACCATTATCATTATACTTTAACTGCCAGCTCTGAAGACCATTTCCCAAACCCCATCCAGAAAACGGTCAGCTATGTTCGACCTTGAATCGTGGCGTTGGGATAGGAAACAGACATCGAATGTTGAACAGCTGTGTCAATGGATGTCAAGGTCATTGAAGTTCCAAAAGTTTTTACTGAGATTTCAGTAGTTGCCTATGTATATTTTCATTATGCCCTTGGCTATACTAGTGATAGAGAGTTGAGCCTTACAAAGTCCTCGGGACATTTTGTTTATCTCTACCAATATTTCTTCACGACTATTCGATGAAAACCATTTGACTTTTTTGCATTTCAGACTTGGTTTGAGCAAAAGGTAATTTCTTTTCTATGTTGAAGTAATGCTGTCGATTTTATTAAGTTATTGAGAGCAAGTTTATTGTGGGGCTGCTTTTTGTAGGGTATTGTATTTGCTCAGACCTGTTGTCATATCATAGAACACTGGCTTGTTGGCGGTAAATAAATCCCCCAAAATAATTAGCCCTGTATGTTAGATTAACACTTCAACAACACTTACGTACAACATGGCTCAGCAACAGACATGTGGCTACAAATGAGAGAGGTCATTGGTCAACGAACTCTAGACGAGGGGCTGTTTAGACAACTTTTCGTGCTTAAGCTTCTTCAACAAATGCAGGCAGTTCTGGTCTCATTTCCAAACAACGCTGAAGACTAGCTGGCTGCATCCGCTGGCCGAATTCTGGAAACCACCCGAACTTCTAACTCAGGTTTTTCTAGTCAAAAAAATCCTCAGGCGACACATAACTCTGTCATACTGTGAAACGTTACCTTAGTATTCATCATGACCATAGATGCTCCCAAACGATCTGTCTCTAGATAGCGAAAGACAGATAACCTAGGCACCATCTTAGGCCCTCTGCTCTTCCTTCTCTACGTTAATGAGTTACCACTGTTACTTAGGTCGTCGACATTATTGTTTGCAGATGATGTAAAAATCTGGAGAACAATAAAAAGTGCGGCTGATCATGTGGATCTTCAAGCTGATTTAGACGATTTAGTTAGATGGGCTCGAGAGTGGGGCTTAGAAATTAATGCTAGGAAGAGTGTACTAATGCACGTCGGTCACGGTAATAGTTACCGTTACACTATTGAGGGTAAACCTCTTCCATGCGTTCAAGAGCATAAGGACTTAGGAGTAATATTAAGTCATGACTTAAAAACAACTGCGCATTGCAAAGCAGCCGCTGTCAAAGGTTTTCGTGCGTTATGGTCACTTCGCCGAGCGTTCAAATCTTTTGACGAGGAAACGTTTCGAATTTTATACCCCATATATGTTAGACCACAATTAGAGTACTGTATCCAAGCACCTAGCCCGTGTCTAGTAAAGGATACTAACTCCCTTGAGCGTGTCCAGCGTGTGGGAACGAAATTAGTGAAGGGTCTTTCTAGTCTCCCTTACGATGAGCGCTTAAAACGCCTAAATCTTTTCCCCTTGTCGTATCGTAGGACACGAGGTGACCTTATACTGGCATTTCGTATCTTTAATTATGATTTGGGTGTTAATATGTCTTATCTTTTTGCTCCCTCCAGCACTAATAATCTCCGAGGTCATAGCAAGAAGGTTCATAAACCACGATCTAATAAACTTAAAGTGGGATCCCGTTTTTCTCATCGAGTAGTCAATCATTGGAACGCCTTACCCGAACAAGTGGTATCAGCCCCATCAGCGAATACTTTCAAAGAGAAGCTGGACCTTCACTGGAAAGCAATGTGTCAGGATTAACACAGGTTCATCAACCTACTATCCTTATTACTGAAGACTGAAGACTTGGTTGGTGTTGGCATCATAATAAATGTGTAAATCTAGACATTGTAGAAAACCTTGCGGTATCTCGAACCCCAAACCAAAAAACGCTTCCGGAAACTTCCCAGCTGGCACTCGTTAACGGCAACCATGGCAGGCGAATATAGCCGTCTTCAAAATTGATTGATCACTGGGTGGTGATCAATCTCATGCTTGTCTAGTCCTTATTAGTGCAGATCGAATGCTATCGATCATGTTGCAATGTGGCCACCAGTCTAGGTGACTCGACACTGCGGGCACTATGTATTAAGATTAGATGGTTTCCTGTTGACTACCTCCAACCACCATCTAATCTCAGAACATAGCCGTCTGTTATACATCACAGATGTGATTACGAAAGTGCGCTATTTCTTCGACTCTAGTGCAGAAGTTAGCGTTCTTCCTGCGGTTTTCACCTAACAGGCGGCAATTGGGAATTCAATCGCCACATACGGTAAGCAATATATTTATCCTAACGTGGGTTTACACGAACCCGTCCATTGGATGTTCGTTGGTGTAGATGTTTCTATGCCAATTATTGGTAAAGACCTGCTAAAAACAGACTGAAACATCAATTCATCTGTTTGTGTAAATTTTTTTTTCGGGCCACAGATTTTCTCCAGTCACAGTGAGACACACGATCGATCCATACTACTGATAATATTTGATTCGTACCCTGAGATATACCAAACGAAATCTGAACCGTCATATGTAATCATCAATGTGATACATCACATCACGACCACAGGACCACCTGTACTCTCTAAAGCACGCCGACTGGCTCCCGAAAAGTTAAGGTTGGCGAAAAACGAGTTCGATCACATGGTAGACTTAGGGATCATTCGGTAACCAGACAGCCCATGGACATCTTTCATGCATATGGCCCCTAGAAATGATAGCAACGACTGGCGTCCAACTGGTGACTATCGGACATTGAATGCAAAACCCATTCCTGATCGTTAACCGTTGCCCCACATTCACGATTTGACAGCTACCTTGAAAGATATAACGGTCTTTTCGAAAATCGACTTGGTTAAAGCGTATAACCCAGTTCCTATGGCCGCTGACGACATTCCTAAAAGCGCTATCATCAAGCTTTTTGGTCTCCACAAAATTCTGCACATGCCTTCCGGGCTAATATGTGTTGAACAAACTTTCAAAAGGTTCATCGATAACGTTTTTCGAGGTATCAACTTCGTACACGAGTATGTTGATAATTTCTTGACTGCATGTCCAGACAGAGAATCTCATCTTCTGTATTACCCAGAACCAACCAAAACCAAGAAACTACGCACTTTTAACGGTCTGGTAAGTTTCTATAGAGACTTCATGCCGAAACGCCTATACTTTATGAAACATTTAACCAAATAACTTCGTGGAAATACAAAAATCGTCAATACGGACGACATAGCTAAGAAAGCATTCTCTTCACTTAAGGAACTTATCGCCAAAGCAACAATGTTCATACACCAGGACATCGAAGCAAACATTAGCATCGCAGTAGACACACCTGACTCGGCAGTCGGAGCACTTTTACAACAATGAGTTAACTACACCTGACAACGTTTTGCATTCTTCTCGAGACGGTTGCTAGACACCGAATCAAGGTGAAGCACTTTCGGTAGGGAACTTCTAAATATGAGATATACTGTACGGCGCTTTCAACACCCCGTGGAGGGTCGAAAATTCACTCTGTTCACCGACCACAAACCTCCTACCTTTTCTTAAGCTCATCTTCAAGCACCTACTCAACTTGAGAGTCGCGAGAACTGGACTATACTTTGCAGTTTATTTCAGACAAAAAACACATTTTTGGAGCAAACAATATAGTTGTCTCGTATAACGTTCCTAAGCAGTTTCCGAAAAATCGACTTTCTCAAACTCTCCCAGCTTCAAAAAGAAGATACTAATCTTCAGCACGAGTTATCTTCTACAACTCTAAATCTGCGTCTTAAACAGATGGAAACTGGTAAGAAAACCTTACTATGAGACACATCTACAGGTAAGGATCATCCGATCGTGCCGGAACGTTATCGACACAGTGTCTCTAATACGTTGCACAAGCTTTCTCATCTAGGTGTTCGTATGTGAAATTATGGTCTACCTCGTTACTAGTATTGCTCTAATGATAGACCTTATCTTAAAATTGCATATTTGTCATGATGTGACTACCTAATCTATGAGGTCTTACGTGAAAGTCATATGATTGTTTTCACTGGCTCGTCCCATCGTAACATCGCCAATATATGATGGGGAAAATATTTAGGCTAGAGGTAGAACAATATATTTAATATGAATAAAAGATTTTAGTGTTACACAAGAATGATCACGCCTGCATGGTTGAGTCATGCCATCCGATGAATAGAATTACCTATCACGCGTTCTCCATAGTCAACCTTTTCTTCGTGTCAATTGTTGAAGGTTTTTTCAGTAATTATATGATCGGCTTCAAAAGTCGTATTGTTAGGATACAGTGCCACTACATGGTCATATATTAGGAGTATTCTCGCCTCACTTGCAATACAGTCTAAATCACATCTTCCTCTACTTGGTAATGTAGAAGCGTACGGCGAGACTCTAATTTATGGAATAGTCAATCAGAGGCGTTTTGGAGATTTAAAGGTTACGGCGCCAACTTCAGTGCTTAATGCTACCGTACGGCCGGTTCACAGGGAATTTCGTATGATGACTCCAGAGGCCGACTATTAGCCCGAGACGCTAATTTATGTTCGACCTTTGAACGAATCTTAAGCAACCTTGAGAAATATTAGCCAATCAGCAAACAGTCAGCATAAAAGAAAAATACATGATACAAAACCAAGGAGTCTGTACGCTCTCCAAACATTCGTATATATTGTAGTACCCGGATGCAGCCAGTGTTACTGGTGCTTTTATTATCCAGTTCGCAATAATTGTCGTAATTTGCCTTTGTTAGAAATTATATGTGGGGTTTTTATCATGAACTGACATCAGCTATAATGCCAGAAATTTATTTAGCCAAATGTATGAAAGGCTTTCGCGTTAAAATCCGAGATCTATTATCTTATACCTGATTGATTCCAGTCCCGCCATTTTTTTGGTTATAGCCGCTCAATTATCACGTTTTGTACCAAATTCCCTGTGAACCGGTCGTACGTTAGCATTAAGCATTGAAGTTGGCGCCGTAACCTTGAAATCTCCAAAACGCCTCTGATTGGCTCGTCCATAAATTAGTCTCACCAAGCGTACTTGTTACTGATAGAATAAAGAACAAAACTATTGGTCAGTATATGAATTGAAGCACTCTGTGAAATGCCGGT